ATAAAATGAGTAGAATGATAGAAAATGTAAACGGGACGAAACGAGTGTGGGACGAAACGAGAGGGGACGAAACAAGTGTGGGACGAAATGAGACGGGACGAAACGAGAGCTAATTAACAAATACGGGGCGAAACGAGAGTAATCCGATTCATTATCGTGTGTGTAGAATAGCTTTTATCATATCAAGCACTGTTGCATTTATTAACTATGAAAGATATCACGTGACAATTAATTATCTCATACAGAAAAGGGCAAAGTTCTTCAAAAAGATATGCTCATCTTCTAGGACTAATTATAGCTGAACTAAAGTATATATGGAAAACTTAACCTCAGATGTATCATCTACAACCGTTGTAGATTTGACTGATGTTCTTCCCGACTGCCTACGATCAGTTATAACCTAGAACTAGTATCTGACTCGAGCGAGAAAAACGGTATGGCAAGAAATAAATAAAGAAAGGAGAATTTTGCTAGGCAATACTCGGAGTGAAAAGCAATAAGTCTCCTTGAGTTTCACTCAGTCGACTTAATAACCAAATGCTTTCGTCACGTTTTTGATCCAATGAATAATTAAGATTGGAAATCTAATTTTAACACAAGTATTTGTGTCTGCTTGTGAGCAGGTGATGCTTATATCAAATCCTTTTATTTACTAAATTTTAGATCCTTCAAGTTGTATATTCAAGACAATAAGTGATGCCTCATATTTCAGTAAGCAAAAATCGCATGCGAATTATTGCACGGATAATTTTATAAGATCTGGATTAATGATAGGTAGGTTTGAATTAAAGTAGCGGTATTTATTACGATTCTTTTTCGTCTTTTGATAATTCTTAATTATCACGAATTACTACATAATTTAAATGTGAAGCTTTTATCATACTTTTTAGACAGTATTTTGCATTAAATTGTTGTTTACAGTCGCTAGTTTGAAGCATTGACTGTTACTTTCGAAATTGACGGTAATTTTTCATAGCGATTCATTGTCAAATTCTTTGAAAAATCGTACGATTGTGGTTCATATGGAGGGCGAGGACGCCATTGGTATGCGTTTCGGTGTTCACTAGTGTCGGATAATGATGATAATGAATTTGCTTTTGCATCAGCTAATAGTTCGTGAAAATATTGACTTTTTGACATTGTTTCTTTCTTCTGTTTTGTTCTTGATGGTATATCGACTGATTGAGATAGGTGTGGTGGAATGAGGTCGCTATATGGAATATAGGTTCTATAATTTGGAAAACGCTCCCGATATTCCGTCGACGTTAGAAATCCGTTAGTTTCTGCCTCGAATACTCGACTCGGTTGTGCTTGATAAACATATGGCCGCTTTGGAAAATGATTTGGAAAGCGCATACGATATTCGGAATTTGATGGATTCTCTTGAAATGATTGTGTACGTGAAGGTGGCCTGTTCGATAGTCTTGGAAGGGTTACATGTGGGATGTAATCTTCTTTCCTTGGTGGCTTGAAGCGAGAATTATATTCGGTAACTATGCCTTCAATTAAAAAAAAACAGATTTAAACTGTTAAGTAGATACTTACGATGATCGACATTACTTCTAGGCTCATCTGGCGCTTCCATTGCAAGTAGTCGATGCATTTGTAAAGGCATTCTTATGTTGAATGATTTTCTAATGAGATTTTAGATCTAACTTAATTTCATCGTCAAAACGTGCATTTTTGTTTTTCAGAGTTAGTCAGTTAAATTCATTCGTTTAAAAAAATAAATGGTTTTTGTTATAAATACATTTCTTTGACTATTAGTATTTTTTTTTCGGTGTACACTTGACAAAAGTGCTTGCTTGTATTTATCGCAAAACAATATTTAATGTCTTTTGTCTATTTCGTCAAACAAAATAAAATTCTTTTTCAATACCTTGTTCAGTTTTTGGGGCATAAATCAGTACATCGACAAAAAAATTGCTTTAGATGCTCTTGAGAATATTATTATTGTTTATGTTTTTCTACTACCTTCAGTTAAGTATAACACTTACATGTTTCAGGAAACCGTAGAAAAAAGCAAGCATAATGCTTGTTTTTGAACTTATGCAGTATCTTTTATCGAAAATAATTTTGTAATAATAATATATTCTTTCCGAAAACCGGTCGACTTAATGATTCGATAGTTAGTTATTTTTTATTCTCAAATTTGCTAGAACATTAGAATTAGTAAATTATTTTCACGCTCGCTAACTTTGATTATCCTTCTCTATGACATCTAATTATTTTATATTTTTTATGATTTATTAGATAAAAGTATTATGTATAAAAATATTAACAAATGAAAAAAATGTGAAAATCCGACTAATGTAAAATTATGAAAGTTTTGTGTTTTCTGTTGCGCAAAGAAAAACGTCAGCTTTTGTCTGTAGTTACACTGTGAAAAAGAAATATTTCTTCAGGTGCTTCAAACACAACCTCATTTTTGATCAGTAAGAAAATATTTCCATATAAAAGACGGGTCACGATGTCCTACGAAACTGGATTCCAGTTTTATACATCCATAGTGTCTTCGTACGAGTCGTGGATACTTAGCCAAGGCATTTTGGATGCATCCTCCCATGTAAATCTGTAAATCTGTAAATCTTTTTCACACTAAATAGGCGGTCAGATTTTGAAATTTTAATCATCATCTACATCTCGATGGATATCATAGACCTGACGGACATTTTTACACCCGTTCTTGTGTGATGTTGAATGAACCCCAGGACGTCGAAAACGGTGTAATTAATTGCCAATTAAATGCCATTTAATACGCTGTTAATAAGCATTTAAATGGCATTTTTATGACATTTGACCCCGT